TCTTAAGAAATAAGAAGGCTGGTGAGATGGCTCAGTGGTCTAAAGCACCTACTTACAACAAGCTTAGCAAAGCACAGGGACCACGGTTCAATCCCCCAGCACCACATGCCAGCCAGCCCCGCCCCCTGGTGGGCTGAGCTGGACACGTGCGCGCACACACACACACACACACATAAATAAATAAATAAAATTTTTTAAAAAATATTAAAAAAAAAGAAAAGAAATAAGAGCCGAGGAGATAGCTCAGTGGCTTAGGCACCTGCCCAGCAAGCACAGGGTCCTGAGTTTGATCCCTGGCACAAAGAAAAAAAAGGAATTCGTAATATTTCAAGAAATAATCACAGATAACTTTCCAGAACAAATAGAAGACATTAAGCAGATATACCTGATAAAAGATTCAACTGAGATCTGGGGAGATAGCTTGGAGGTCTGAGTGCCTGCCCTGCAAGCACAAGGACCAAGGTTCGGTCCCCAGTACCACATGTTATGCCAGTCCCACACCAAGCTGGCCACCAATACTGGATATCATGGTGCATGCCTATAATCCCAGCACTGGGGAGGCTAAGACAGGAGGATCGCTACAAGTCCAACCTGCATAGCAAGCACTGTACCAAATAAATAAATATGTTTTTTAAATTAAAAAAACTTCTAACTGAAACCCAATTATAGCAAATGTAAAGAAACTCACTCCTACACACATCATAGTGAGACTTCAAGAAATTAGGGCAGGCAGAACATCTTAAAAGCAGTGTATGAATTTACCTTCCATGATGTTTAAGGCAGACTGCCAATCTTGACTGGCTGGGGGCATTGGTAGCATGTTCTGAGTGTGCTTGGGAAGGCAATGGAGACCCAACCTCAGGACAGATGTCTGTTCCAGGTTCTCCAGCCCTGCTCTCCTGCTCTGCCTCACAGCTACCAAAAATTATCCATTCCCGTCCTGCCACAGGCTTTACTCATGATGTTTCTGCCCTGGAGCCAGCCAAATACTGACTGAATCCCTTGAAGTCATGAGCCAAATTAAACTTCTCCTCCTTTACATTGTGAGTGTGAGAGTCTGTGTTCTAGTCATGGGAAAACTGGCTCATACATCTTCAAAGATTAGCAGTTGTCCCCCCAAGGTAGCTGTGCAGGTCAAAGACAGTGGGATGACATATTCAATGTATTAAAAGAAAACAATTTCCCATTAAAATAATATTCTTAGTGAGAGCATCCTTTAAAAATAGAAGCAAAATAAAGGGATTTTTGTAGAAAAGCTGAATTTAATCTCAGTAGACAATTTGCTAGAAGAAATTCTAAAGAACATTCCTTAGGAAGAAGAGAGGAGATCCCTGATGCAAGATGAGCTATAAGAAGGGAGAGCAGATAAAGTAGCAAGGACAAAGTGAAGGTAGCCACGTGTTTCCTCTCTAGCCATCTCCTTTGGGATTTATTGCCACATGAGGATAATACTTGGTTGAAACTAAGACACCAAGGATGGAAGAAAGGAAGCATCTTACTAAGCTGCTGAACCCACCCCATCCTGGCTTCCCTCCACCCCTTGGCATCTTATATGTAAATGGTAAATATCTTTACACTTTTGCTGCTAGCAACCAAAGTTTCTGAGGCTTACATCCTCACAGATGCAGTTATGAGCCAGCATTCCAAGCCCAATAGTTTCAACAAAACATCTGTCAATTTGTTATCTCTGGGACACAAGATCTGTCCAAGCCACCTGAGGACTGAGGTTTCTTGGGTCCATCATAGACTCAGCCCAAAATTCAGCTTGTAACACTAACCCAGGACTGAAGGTCAAACCACACTGGCCTCTGGGAAGTGAGTGAGATTTCTGCCCTGTTCACATAACTTCATCACCTCCTTGGTCTCAAAAGATCACCCCAACTTTTTTCTGTAAGTAACAGCTATCTTTTTCAAGCTTATCAATTCAGTGAGTTAGGAATTTTGGCAGAAAAGAAAAAGAATGGCTTTTCTATGTCACTCTGTCTGGGGTCTGAGTATTCAAAAAGCTAAGGCTAAGTCCCATGGCCGGGGGCTGGAATCCTGCTGTGATTTCTTAACTGACATGTGTCTGACATCTAGAGCTGGGCTCACTCAAAACATGGATTCCCACGGAGCAGCAGACCAGAGCATGCAATCATGGTTTGGGTTCCTCACAGCATGGTAGCTGAATTTCTTTTCTTCTTCTTTTTTTAAAGTTTTCTGATTGATTGATTGATTGATTGATTGATTGATTGGACCTATTTATTTTTGAGTCTACATGAACGTCAAAAAGTTTTCATGTTAGGAATTGAAAAATCATGTAAACTTGAGGTGCTTCTCAGGGACAGGGTGTCCTTGTTCCCAACAAGAGGTAACTGGATTTCAAGAGGGAGGTCCTGGGAGGGAGAATTGGACCCAGACCATTCCAAGAGAAAAGGTCTTTCCTGATCTAACCTTGTGCATTACTTTTCTCTTGCTGCTGGACCAAATCAACATGAATATGGCTCTACTAAGCAATACAAATTTATTATCTTATACTGTAGCTTTAGAGGTCAGAAGTCCCAAGTGGGTTCAACTGAGTTAAAGTGAAAGTGTGAGTACATCTGTATTTCTTCTGGAGATCAAGAGAAGATTTTGTTTTCCTCCCTTTTCCAGCTTTTGGAGACCTCACCAGCAACGCAGCACCCTCAAGCCTCTCTCAGACTCTGACCCTCTTGCTCCCTCTTAGAAAGACTCTTGGGACTACACTGATCTCAAGACTGCAGATCACAAGACCCTTCAGCCAATGGAACTCCCAAGACTCACTGCCATGTATGTGATACCACAGAGCTGGTTCTGAGCACTAGGACACAGACCTCTGTGGCAGGGGAGGGCACACTTCTGCCAACTACACTTTGGCAGTCACACAGCACCACCTCTGCTACACACTCTTTCCAAAGCAATCAGAGCCAGGAAAGGACAACCGACCTAAGGGCTCCTCGGAAGAGATGCAAATGAATTCATGGTCTAGCTAACAAACACCACCGCCACCCCTGCTGTGGCCAATCCACACTCTACAGCTCCAGGGGAACAAGCTCCACTCCCATTCTTAACTCCAAAGCATAAAGGCAAAGTGAGTTAGACAGTCTGACAACCCCACAAGCTGCTGAAAGGAAACAAATGATACACAGTGCAGATGCATTTTATGAAAATTTAGTATCATAAAAATATTAATGAATACTCTTTGTACAGTTGAATTCAAGCAAGACCTGGTTTATATTTGTTCCCAAGTGAAGACGAAACTTGAGTTGTTCAAGCTTTGAATTAAGTGAGTTTGTCAAGGATGCATTCTTCGCATAAAATACAAATGTTCTATGTACACTTGATTTCTATAAGAACCCAAAGCAACATAGCACAAGAAAAAAAAAAAAAACCAGAGGAGGTGTGAAAATTACATCCAACTTTTAGCATGAGGATTAAAGAATCACTAAACGATTAACTTCCCCCAAAATACGTATTTCCCATGCTGTTTGAATTGAAGGAATGTTTCTTCTGTTGAAATCAAGCATTATTAGTAAACAGCAGTTGTGAGAACTTGAAGTGGCTAAATTGTAGGCTTTGTTGGAAACAGGCCTGAATAGAACATATTAGCATAAATTGTATTTTTTATGGTTAAGCTGCAGTGTTAAATATCAAACTGTGCTAAACGGTTGCCCTCCATACAGTAGCTAAATTGAACTACCTGTTATATCAGTTTAGGAAATTGTAAAACTTAAAGAAGTCAGCAATTTAATGGATGTGTTTATAAAATATCCTGAGGTACTCTGGCTTAACATCAAGGAGCAAAACACCCCTTAGAGTGTTAAAAAGTCTGTCTATTAAAAAAATAATAATTGGCAAGGGGATAACTGTAAGATTAATTTTTAAAAAGAAATCCAATATACTGTGAAAATGGATATAACAAATTCAGGTCACATTTCATATAAAAAATAATCTCCTGTATTAATTTTCAATATGTTAAGTATCATGCAGGGCATGGTCGTGCATGCCTATAATCTCAGCACTCTGGAGGCTGAGACAGGAGGATAACTGAGAGCTTAAGGCCAGCCTGGGCTACATAGTGAACTCAAGGCCAGCTAGAATCTGCAGCAAGACTCTGTCTCAAATAACAAGCAAACAACAAATATTTTTGCCTAACCATTGTGCTACAGTTCAGGAGACTGGCCATTACACTTTGTTCAGTAAACTGACAATCACTACTCCTTTCCGTTCTGATTTTGGGATTTGATTTTGGATATTTTACTGAGTGAGGGTGGGAGATTAAGCAAACGACATATCTTGGATCTTCAAATGTTTTGCTAAATTTTATATTTCTTTGAGAATTTGTACAGAGAATTTCAGACAGGTTACTGTCTTCTGTGTTTAGAAGTAATGTTCATACATGACACAGAAGACACGATACTGAATGTATGGAGTTTGTGAGTGGCTTTAGTTATTTCAAAGGTAAAATTAAGCTCATATATTATTTAGCATTATATGCCAATGCCAATTGTTGAAAACCAGATCATGAAACCCTTATGCGAGGTCTGAACATTTGAAATAATTAGAAATAAGCATAAGTGGACCAGGGAGATAGCTCAGTAGAATAATCGCCTGCCCGGCAAGCACAGGGTCCTGAGTTCAATCCCCAGTACCACAAAAACAAAACAAAACAGAAATAAGCATAAGTTAGTAAATGGTTTCATTTATGTCTTCTATATAACAGTAAGATTATTAGGAGACAAAACAAACTCTTGTTATTACTTTCTTTGTGCTATGTTGCTGCTCTTATCATTTTTTCATCATTTTAATACTTTTTTCCTAGCTACCAAAGAAACACATGCTCATTGTAGAAAATTTTGAAAATAAATAAAAAGCAAAAATCTTCCATAGTAGTTTTTTTTTTTTAATCCTTGAATTAGGTTCCCATTCTGACTGTTTAAATCAAAAGAAGTGATAATTGGAGCAAAAGGGTACTGTAAAAACTAACAGATTTTTTCTTTCTGGGGAAAGCACAAACACAGGTCCCCCCACCACAGTTGTGCAGTGGAGTTTCCTGCAACTGGGGAAGTTGCAGGAGTCAGCACATCTGAGGGCAGCGGATGAACCTCACCCAAGGAAAACCACCTTCACAGTCATGGCATCTCCCCTGCCAGGTGAGTATAAAAAACTAACTCACAAACTGCTAGAGAGAGATATTAGAAACTTTTTAGTAACCACCTGCCCTCAAGACTAACCAGCAGGCAAGCGCATGCTCACATCAATGGGCACTGGAGCTGGCACCACTCATCTCGAAGCCAGCGTAACTCTGGAGAACAATTAGTCATCAGACAGTACAGGCTCAGACAAAGAGAAAAAAGTCAAAGTGTTGTAGGAACCCAGTGAAGAAGAATAAGAATATAACGGGCAGGATCAAAGATGCTACAAAAAAGAAATATCTAAGAAGTTTGAATGCTGAATACACTACCAAGACCGTAAATCAGTAAGAACAGCATCCCGAAGAAAAGGAACACCAAGAAAGGCAGTTTCCACGCCCAATAAGGATGGTTCCTTGACCAAGTCACAGCAAAAGTGGTACAGAAAAACATCCTCAAGTCATCAAGAGACTCAAAGTGGGCAGCAAACTGATTGTCTTCCATTTTTCTTATGACATCATTTCACAAAATTCTAGACAATCTAGTATGGTAACACTGCTTTCCTAGGCCCTACTAGTCAAGACTGTTTAGCCATCATTGACAGAAACTCAATGCAGAGCACCAAAAGTAAAAGAAGAAGAAATATGTTGACACATACAATTGAAAAACATAGTATTTTAGGAAGTCTAGTGAAGCTGGAACTAAGAGCTCGAATAATGTATTCCTATTTCTCTCCATATGCTTCATTCTCTGCTCTGCTTGTGCCTACTTCTCTCTGCATGTTAGCTTCATTCTTTCTTGCTGCAGATAGACTTCCTACACACAAGAGTGCTTTGGGCAACCCCAGGCCAGCATTGTCCCAGCTTCCTAATGTACATGAAGAAAGCCATCTTCCCCACAAGGGAGCTAGCCCCAAGAAGGGCACCAGGAAGGCATTTCTGTAATCTGCACCAGGCAAATGGTCATCCCTAACCAGTCACTGTGACAAGTGGGATGTGGTGCCATACTCAGACTACTGGATGTCATAGCCCACTTGCCGTGGCACTAGACAGCTCCCACAGGGCCACATGGCTGGTACCGTCTCTCCAAAAGAAGATGATGGACAGTGTGCCCGGTACATGCCAGCAATGACTCTTACTGATTCTCTCCCAGCTATTTAAAAGATCCCTTCCACCTCAGCAGTGGGGCTGGGTCACATAGCCCTGGACACTCATCCAGGCAGGAATGCAGGTGGATAAGGTTCTTGCACTGTATGACAATAAAAAGACATACTTCCTAGCAAAAAGATCCTCCTGACAACAAAGATTCACACCAAATGTTCAAAGGGAAAAGTTCCACTGAATTCTAAAATAGAGAACCAGAGGAGCCAACTGTCCCCAAACTCAGCCCAAAATACAAAAGTCACCTGGTTTAGCACTTGTGTCTTACATTAGCATATTTGAAATCTGGTAATTTAAAATTAGACAATAAGTGGAGCAAGCACCCATATGTCACTTACGATGTGCCAGGCATTGTCCTAAGTGTCTTCCGCAGAGTAATATTTATGACAACCTTGTGAAGCAAGACCTAGCATTGTTTCTATTTGTGGTAGCATAAGTCATAGCTCAGAGAAGACACGCCCATTCCAAGCTGGATGTAAACCCATACAGTCCAGTGCCACAGCCTGCATTGATGACCCCAAGGTTAGACTCAGTGCTTCTCCTCAAGGTAGATCACACAGTAAAGATGGTGAGCAAGGGAGCAGAACAAACACGTGTGCTGAGCCAAAACAGCTTGTAAGAGAACAAGCAAGCAGACGTAAAAACCTCACCTAGACTGTGTACTGTCAGCTCAGGGGCACCAGCTCATCCACGCAGCCCCAACACCGTCTAGGGGAGGTGTGAGGAGCCTGGCTAAACAAATCCAAGTTAAAGACCCATCGCGTTTTCCTGGTACAAAACTGTGCTCTCCTTTTCTACAGACACTGTACCCACAGAGGCAGTCTGGCACCCAGCAGTGACCTTTCCACCTGGTACCAGTGCAGTGTCTGGCACAGTCTCATATTCAACAGTATTTCTTTAAGACTGAGGCAGCTGTAGCTGCCTATTCTTAGGATAGTCATAAGAGCTGGAACACAAGGGTCAGTGATCAAGTATTTCTTGAGGACCTACAATGTGCCAGGCACTGGGCTAGGCACTGAGAATGCAGCAATACCAAGAAAGACACAGACATGGGCCCACACTGTATTTTCCACCTTGTCCTGGTTTATCTCATACCTAAGCTGAAGTTAACTAGAATTTGTACCTTTACGAGTAAGTCTGATATCCATACAGTAGTATACGTCTATATGGACACATTCAGTTAGTAAAACACTGCAAGATTTTGTGGATGGCTTGGCAGCCGGGGTGGCCTTGTCACCTCCCTAGGCCTTTCACAGGCCCACAGCGGTGGCAAATGATACCAATGAGGCAGTCTCACCCATCACCCACCCACTGGCCCTCAGTCACTGGGAAATCCTTGTGCCTGCCCAGGTGCCTGAAGAGAGGAAGCCCAGCCTGAAAGTCATGTGCAGAACCACACGCCATTCTAACACTTCGTTCTTAGCTCTGGCTGCCTCTTAGCATCACTCAGGGGTGCTTTCAAACTACAGAGTTCAGGTCCACTTGGTTCTATCAGCTGTTCCAAGGGGCTCCATGGGGCTTACAGGGCTCCATCTCCATGAGCCACCTTTTTGGACCCCTATGGTTCCGCTCTCCTGCATGCAAGTCTGCATCCCAGAAGGGGAATGTCCAGACCTCATTCTGGGTCCAGGTTCCCTGGCCTGTCCTAGCCATAGTGTTCATGTAGCAGACTGAACCACAGTATGTGTTCCCTTCCGCCAGAGAACAGGGAAGCCTGGCACTTTGCCTGCATGGTGGATGGACAATGAGCACAATAAAGACACACATGAATATTCAAACCCTCATCTGAGACTGCAAGTTGTAATAGCATCATCATGCACTACAGCCTTCCAGGGATTGGGGGAGGGGTGCAGTCCTCACTACTAACTACAGTTATAAAATATCCATGACCTGTGTAGAAATAAACTTTGAAAGCTGACTCTAAAGTTAGTATCATACAAAAGGAAACACTCCGTAATATGAATTAACGTTTGCTGTTTTCTGTGTCTGTGTGCAAAGCCCTCCATGCTTAATTCAGCAAAGGAGTCCTTGTCCATACCCACTAATGCCAGTCAAGCAGCAGGGAGAGAGGTGGTGATGGAAAATAAATGGCTTTGGGAGGCAAGTCCTTCAGGCCCTCCTTGCTGGCACAGATCCTGAAACTGTACCCCTCCCAGGAGGCTGCCAGACTGGCAGGGAGCCAGGCCTTTGCGCCAAGAACTTCCAAGGTCTCCTTTCTAAAGAAGGATCAAGTTTCCTGCTTGTTGACAAGAAAACTAAGGTATAACGAGGTAAAGGGGCCAATTCAACGGACAAATGTCTTTTTAGGGTAAAATCAATGTCACTCCCAACACCTTCAGCATGCATTAAAAAGAAAAACTGAGACATGTCTTTGAAGGAGATAGAAGCTTGAGAGTTTTAGTTCAAAAAAATCTGCTTTAAACTTGTAGAGTTTTCTTTGTCTCACAAACCGGACCACCAGAAAAGTAACAAATCAGTGTACATGTCTCTGGTTAGGCCCTAAATCCCAGTGGAGTGACAAGACTTCTCATGCTGTAGGTCACGCTCCACACTGCCACTGCCTAGCACAGAGGACACATCCCTGCCACGACCTCTGCCAGCAATGCTCGGGACTCTGCAGCATGTACGCAAGGCAGGCGCAGGACTGGGCCTGGGCACGACTCAGAGGAAAACAAAAACCATTGAGACAGCCAAGGAAGAAACCCAAAGCACTCAAGCTCAAGGCAGGCAGAGCCCACACCCACCCACGTTAGGCACGCTCAGCCCCAAAATGTGGCAGACACAGCAGACTCATGGCTTCTGATTGTCTCGGTTAAAACCAAAATGTGCCTTCCCTTCCTAATTAAAAAGCATGATTTGAAGCTTTGTGTATCTGGTGGGTCCAGAAACAAAAGAGGGGAACTTGAATTCTACGGCTTTAACATATCAGCATCTTTTCTAAAACACAATAACTATGTGACTTGGGCAGGTGCAGCCTCTGGGTTTCAACCGCATCATTAATAAAAACAGGACAAACAAAAATAATTGCTCCAAAAGGCAAAGGATTGGGCTTGCAGATAATTTAACCCTCCAAATACATAACTGTGGAAACACTCAAGGAAGAGAAGTTATTCAAGTAAAATATACGTCCGTAACAGGCTGTCAGTAAATTATACTGACAATGTACCACAGCATTCACTTCTAGAGAAATCCCATTGCTGACAGAGCAGGGTTCTCAGAGGATGGGGACCCAGCAGGCAGAATCAGAACACTTGGGAAGATGGTACAGAGCCCAGTTTGGACCAGTGGACTCAGGAGCTCTGGGGCACCGACAGACACACATAGGGACGACATGAGTCGTCCCTATGGTCTGACAGCAACTCGTGTAGTAACTAAATGGCTTCTAATACAACATTTAGCTGCAAGCATGTCTGCCCCACAGTTTCAAAACCTTTGCCTCAAACGGCCAGTGTCTGTTTCAGAAGGAAAGAAAAAAACCTTCACAGGAGCCATGTTTCTTTTTTTTTTTTTTTAATTTTTTAAATTTTTTTATTTATTTGAGAGAGAGAGAGAGAGAGAGAGAGAGAGAGAGAGAGAGAGAGAGAGTGTGGTGTGTGTGTGTGGCCAGCTCAGCCCACCAGGGGGCGGGGCTGGCTGGCATGTGGTGCTGGGGGATTGAACCGCGGTCCCTGATGCTTTGCTAAGCTTGTTCTAAGTAGGTGCTTTAGACCACTAAGCCATCTCTCCAGCCCCAGGAGCCATGTTTCTGATCTGGACACCTCCACCATGGAACATTTGTCCTGGACATGCCCTTTGCCTGGGGCACTGGCCCTCTACCCTTTTCCAGTCAGGCCTTGGCTCCAATGTCACTGGTTCGATGGTGTCTGTCT